GGCCGCCACTCCAGCTGTCTGAAATAAGCTGGGTGAGACAGAATCGACTCTGAAGGCGGAGGGAAGACAGCGCTTGTCCGTGCCACCGATCTTGGGGAGGCTGAAATCGCTTGACCCTTCGCGCCCCGCACGCGCGTCTGCCTCTAGCCCGGGTGCCTGCGACCTCTGGCCGAAGCCACCCCGGGATTCTCCCGCAGCGCATCCCAGTCCGCCCACCCGACCGGGCGGGCGGAGCGAGCTGCGGTGACGTCATGGGGGGCGTGGGGACAGGAGCCGAGGTGCCCGCGCTCCGCACTGCCAGTCCGAGCGGCGCAGCCACCCGCGCGCGCGTGCTTGCTCCCCCGCGCCCGGAGCCTCAGTCCGCGGCGCGGCTCCCGGGGTCTGCGGGCCACGCGGGTGCTCCGAGGCGCGACGCGCGGAGCAGAGTCGGCGGCTCTAGACGCCGAGCGCCGGCCAGGCAGCTGCGCGCCCGGGCGCCGGGCTGGGTTGCGGACAGCCGCTGGGTGCCGGGGTGCCGGAGAGCCGAGCTGGCGGATTGCAGCGGAGAAGCAAAGGTGAGGTGTGTGGGCGTGCGTGTGCGTGTCTGTGGGTATCTGAGAAGGAGGAACGCACTTGGGCACCTGGGTGCATCTGCGCTGCGTGGAGGTGCGCGCCCGGCGTGCCCAGTGTGGGTCCCGGTGCGTGGCTCTCCACCCTGGGGCTTTCGCGGGTGGTTTTGGTGGGAATGAACGACAGCCGGTGTCCGGGCGCGAGGGGGGCGCCGTGGGTCGCCTGTGCTGGAACGGACGTGTCCGCACAGCTGCAGGCTGAAGTGCGCGGCGTGCGCCCTTATCCAGCCCTGGTCTCCCAGCCGAGTGTCCAGGTGGCAGCTGCTGCGACGGGGACAACTTCTCTGCCAGCCGCCTGTATCAGAACCCCGACGCGAGGACAGCGAAGCTAGCGAGGGGGATATCGCCGCGGCTGCTGCCGGCTCGCGCCCCCGGATCCCTCCCCCACCTACCCCCAATCCGAGCCTGTGAGTGGCAGGCAGCGGAGCAGGAGAAAAAAAAAGAGGGGCTTCTCCCTTGTTCTTCCTCGCCCAGCCTGGGACAGGGATCCCGAGCGCTGTAGCGTCTGCTCCACCTGGGTGGAGAGGACCGGTTGCCCAGGTTTGGAGAGACCGAGTCTCTGAGCAGCCCGCACCCCGCGGAGGCACCAGCCAAATCCCCCGGCGGCGGCTGTCGGCGGCTCCCAACCGACGCTGGTGCCCGGCCCCGATCTGCCTTTGGAGATCAGGGTGCTGGCAGGACAATCCTTAATCCCTTCTCCTCTGCAGATAGCAGGGAATCCTTTAGGAAATCCTTGGGTCTGATGGCCAGCGAGTTGGATGGTGCAGAGGCAGATTTTCTGTGCCAGCCTGGGGCGCCCACTGGGCGGGCGGTGGGGACCTTTCCTCTCCCCTCTGCCCCTTCTGCCAGCGATGCCTCGGCTTCTCCTAAGCGCCGGAGCTCCGGGTGGCCCGCACCTGGCTGTTGGCTCTCCCCACCCCTGGGGCTCACGCTTCGGCCACCGGGAAAGGGTTAGGAGGCAGGAGCGAAGTGGGGTAGGGGCTGAATGGAGAAAAGATGCGGGAGAGAAAGGGAAAACTGAAGTTGAAAAGGATTTAGGGTCATCTGGGATGCGAGGTCCCATTCCCAGCGCTCAGTTCTTAGGCTGGGAACCACAGACCCTCTGGGATGGAAGGGGATGCTCTAGATCAGGGGTCCCCAACCTCCAGGAAACATCCTGAAACCATCTCGCCCTCGGGTCCATGGAAAAACCATCTTCCCTGGAACCGGTCCCTGGTGACAAAAAGGCTGGGGACAGCTGCTAGACCGTTCTCACCCTCCTCTCCAACAGAGCTGGGCTCAGCTCAGAGGAAACCAACAATCAGGCATTTCCCATATCTAACGATGATTCTTAGACTGGAAAAATAAAGCAGAAAACCAAACTTCCTGGTGCATTTAATCACAATCTAGCAGGTAGTGACGCCTGGCATTGGCGTCCACTTTTGATGAGACGCCAATGAAGCAGAAGTCTCTCGGAGAGCCGAGGCAACTGACTTCATTGTTGATGCAATAACATTCGCTGTGATTCAAACTCATTTCTTCCTCGGAGGAGGCTTCTCACTCCGCACTGGCTCACCAGCTTACCCAGTCTGCCACCTTCACTGAGCTCTGAACTCTGTCTGGGGCTGCCTCTCTCAAAGGTGGAGAATGTTGCTTCTCAGGGGAAAAAAAAAAAAAAAAAAAACTGACCCTATTCAATCCCTTCCCATTGCATGAGACTTCAGCCAAAAAGGCAGAGTCAGGGCTGGAGGTCAGCATTCCCTCCCCTGCCGGCATCATCATCACTACCCCTGCAGCCCCGGGGTCTTCAGTCTGGCCCAGACATCACAGTGTGACTTTGCAGGTCACATAGATGGGATGCTGGAAATGCTAGTGATAAATGTCCACCCCAATGCAGGTGGTTTAAATAGGCTTCTGGGTTGGAAGAATTAAAATAACAAAACAGTTAGAAATGATATTGGAAACAGCCTGTGTTAATCCCAGGACACCAAAAACAGTTTCTTCACAGCTTCTGTTTTTAATTGCTGCCAGTTTATGCTTTTTACCCAACTCAGATATTGACTTCTGGGTCCCCAAAGTACTTTACAGAAAGATCAACCATGAAGCCCCCAGACCCCCACTTTCCAGATAGTTGTGTGGTGGGGAAGTCAGCACAGAAAAGATAAACAGTGCTCCCGGCAGTGCAGAATGAACCAGAGGCAAATGTGGGCAAGCGCCCCGCAGTACTTGTTGCTGGCTAACTCCCCTATAACTCATCAGCAGTCTCTTCAAGCAGAAAGGAACAATGTCCAGTCTTCACTCAGGCGCCAGGGAAAGCACCCTGCTCAGGGGACATGCATCCTCCAGGTGGACTCCTCCCGCTATGAGCTGGGCGCTTCACCGCTTTGCCAGCTTCCCCCTTCCCAGAGGGACCTCTTCCCTGCCGTCCTTACTTCCCACTTCAGGGACTCAAGACCCAGCTCAAACTTTCTCATGCAAAGCCTCTGAATCTCCTAGAAGAGAAAGGCACCCTCAAGTCCCTCGTTCACATCTCCATGCAACTCACACCCTAAGAGTTGGTACCCTTCCTGTCTCCCCTCCTAAGACGTCACCTCCGTGTCTGGCTCATTCCTGTATGACAAAGAAGTGTCCCAGGGATAATTTTTAAATGACTGTAGATAAATCATTTAATTACGTGATAAGCTATTGTTCTACATCTTAGACCAAGCCGATAGTGCCCCCTTTATTTTCTCGGCATGGAGGTAAGACCAGAGTCGGCTGCTGCAAACCAAAGCCCGGTTATCAGTCACTGGTTTTCCAACCCACTGAGCAGCGGCTGTGATGCTGTGAAAAGTGGAGAAAGCTTGGGTGTCCTGTGTTCAAATTCCAACTTCACCAGTGATGCTTAAGGGAATGGGAGCAAGTTCCTTAAACTCACTAAGTCTCAGTTTCCTCATCTGTAAAACGGGGATAATTATCCCCACATCATAGGATTGTTTGGAAGGTCAAGGAGACAGTAGATGTGAATCAGTGTTTCAAATTCACTCTTGTGAATAAGGCTGCCTTCCTCGATCCTGGATCCTGTTTTTGCCCTTAATTACAGGATCACAGGCAAATTCTCTGGGGTGTAAAAAGATCCCCAGCATCCTGATGGGGGACTTGGGAAAGGATTCTCCAGGGCACCAGGAGGTCAAGCATTGGGTATTAGAGGAAAAGAGAGGAAATAAAAATCAACTAGAGCCTACATTTTAAATATAAAAGCAAGCCAGATCTTTCTTTTTAATATTTAAGACTATAAACTGGTTCATTGTGTAGGCAGATTTCAATAAATTAGAAGTAAGTTGGTATTCATTGGAAAGACTAATGCTAAAGCTGAAGCTCCAGTATTTGGTCACTTGATGCAAAGAGCCAACTCATTAGAAAAGACCCTGATGCTGTGAAAGATTGAAGGCAAAAGAAGAGGGCGGCAGAGGATGACATGGTCAGATGGCATCACCGACTCAATGGAGATTGAGTTTGAAAACTCTGGGAGATAGTGAAGGACAGGGAAGCCTGGCGTGCTGCAGTCCATGGTATCCTAAAGAGTCAGACATGACTGAGCCACTGGACAACAACAAAAAATGAAAAAGGGAGAAAAGACAACATTTTTAGAGTTCACATTAGGAGCCCAGCACAGTGCGAGGCATTTTCATCTTCATTTCATGACTTCGTCTTCATGATACCCCCATTTTAACAAAGGAGACAGTGGTTGAGTGCCTGGCATGGGGTCACGTGGTCACCATGGTTTTTTCACCTCTAAAGTCTGGGATTTTTCCACTATGGGATTTTCAGAATAGAAAGACTCCAAAGCAGCTGTGAAGTGAGCATAGATTTCCTCAAGGGGGAGAGACCAGGAATGCAGGTGTCAGACTCTTCTGAGGCAGGGCTTCCCCAGGCTCTGTCGTTTTACGTTCAGATCAGCCCAGCTCGTAGGAACCGCTGTCTCACAGGTAGAGTCAACTCCCATGTGTATGTCACCAAAGATGACAAGATAAACTGGGATGACTTCACTCAAAGCCTTCCCCGCCACTGGAAAGTGCCCTGTGTGCTGGGGAGAATGAGCTGGTAGCGCTCACACTGGTGTGAAACACAACACACTTTTCAACCAAAGAGTGTCTGAGAGGCCAAACCAGAAACAGCGGGAAGCTGGTGAGAGCTCAAGTAACCTCTGGCAGATGAGTCAATCTTCTTTTCTTCCTTGCAGATGTCACAGTGGATCCTTTGCCTCTGGGACCCATGAAGGTGAGAATAAGACCTCTGGCGGGTTGGATCTAGCCTAAGACTAGAAGGCAGCCATGGATCTGGCGTCTGAACTCAATGAGACCCAACCTTGGCTGACCTCTCCGTTTGACCTCAATGGCTCTGTGGGGGCAGCCAACATTTCAAACCAGACAGAGCCGTACTACGACCTGACCAGCAACGTCGTCCTCACCTTCATCTACTTCGTGGTCTGCATCATTGGGTTGTGTGGCAACACGCTGGTCATTTACGTCATCCTCCGCTATGCCAAGATGAAGACCATCACCAACATCTACATCCTCAACCTGGCCATCGCAGACGAACTCTTCATGCTGGGTCTGCCCTTCCTGGCCATGCAGGTGGCTCTGGTCCACTGGCCCTTCGGCAAGGCCATCTGCCGGGTGGTCATGACCGTGGATGGCATCAATCAGTTCACCAGCATCTTCTGCCTGACGGTCATGAGCATCGACCGCTACCTGGCTGTGGTCCACCCCATCAAGTCGGCCAAGTGGAGGAGGCCCCGGACAGCCAAGATGATCAGCATGGCTGTGTGGGGCGTCTCTCTGCTGGTCATCTTGCCGATCATGATATATGCTGGCCTTCGGAGCAACCAGTGGGGGAGGAGCAGCTGCACCATCAACTGGCCAGGCGAGTCTGGGGCCTGGTACACGGGGTTCATCCTCTATGCCTTCGTCCTGGGGTTCCTGGTGCCCCTGACCATCATCTGTCTCTGCTACTTGCTCATCATCATCAAGGTGAAGTCCTCCGGCATCCGAGTGGGTTCCTCCAAGAGGAAGAAGTCCGAGAAGAAGGTCACCCGCATGGTGTCCATCGTGGTGGCCGTCTTCATCTTCTGCTGGCTCCCCTTCTACATCTTCAACGTCTCCTCGGTCTCGGTGGCCATCAGCCCCACCCCAGCCCTCAAAGGCATGTTTGACTTCGTGGTGGTCCTCACCTATGCCAACAGCTGTGCCAACCCTATCCTCTATGCCTTCTTGTCCGACAACTTCAAGAAGAGCTTCCAAAATGTCCTCTGCTTGGTCAAGGTGAGCGGCGCAGACGACGGGGAGAGAAGCGACAGTAAGCAGGACAGATCCCGGCTGAATGAGACCACGGAGACCCAGCGGACCCTCCTCAACGGGGACCTCCAGACCAGCATCTGAACTGCCTGGAAACCCATCACTCAGGCGCTAAGCTCTGCCAAAGGGCCGTGCGCTCCCCAGCCCCAGCCCCCTGCTTCCTCCCACCCATCACCTGGGGATCTGCTCAGCAGGAGTCCAATGCAGAGAACAGGGTTTGACCTGGCTTGCACGAGTGATGTATTAAACTGATTATGCCCCCCTTAAAGGGAACATTTAGACGCAGGCAGACAATTCTGAGTCTGGAAAAGAGGAGATCACGCCTGGGTGAGACCTTTAGAAACAACTGAAATGCAACAAAAACAGAAAACTCTGCGTGTTTGTGTGTTTAAAACCCCGTACGTAATCTTGTGGTCTTACATTTATACTTGCATATCCTTATCTAGTCCCTGTATAGCCATGACCTAGGTGTGTTTCCTGAGTTCAAAGACAAGGAGCAAGTTCAAATATGCATAGTATAGAGGGATGTTTATTCCAATATGGTACCCACAGAAATGGACTTACCATGAAGCCAATAAAGTTTAAGCTTCAGGGATCTCTCTTGCTTGGGTGGTATGTTCACATGGTCATATGCTTTTGTAAAAAAGAAAAAAGAAAGAAAGAAAGAAAGAAAAATATGTAAAAGTAAGATATTTTTGTATTTTTTTTCTTAAAAAGGTCTCCTTAAATTGTATAAGCTTCCAGCCTCACAAAACTGGCCTCTGTCCCTGAGTTTTTGCTTCATTAATTTCAGGCAAGTTAAATCAAATTTAAAAAAAAAAAAAGGGTGGGGAGGAGAGAGGGACAGGTATTTAAGACCCAGAACATAAATTCATGTGTTTCCTCCTCTTAGATATAATCAAAGGATTATTCATCTCTCCAAAAGGACATTAAGTGGCTGTGGTCATCGATCACTGTATTTATCAAGACATGGCCTGCTCTAAGATTGCATCATTTTCTTCTTAAATTGCCTTAATTGTTCCTAGGGAGCCGTGGAGGGGAGTGGGGTTGGGTGAAAATCACTGACGTGCAAGGCAAAAAATGGACAATCATTCTTAGAGGGCAACAATTTTATTCTCCTCACCATGAAAATAAATGAATAAGAATGAAGCAAAATTACACCTTTATAAGAAACCATAAAGCTGGGGTTTTTTAAAATGCCAGACATGTTTTCCCAATGAAAGAAAATGAAAATGTTATTCAACAACCTCTCAAAGGTACTTTTTAAGAACTTGCTACAAAGCTGGGCGCTAGTAAAATCACAGTGCACACGGAAGATCTGAGGGCATGGTTCCAAAAGCATCAGCACACGTGCCAGCCAATAAATACGCCAAGTGCCGGGGGTATGGTGTGAGCGCTGGAGGCAGCCCCATCCCTCACAGGTGTGGTCGTGCCACCTTCCTCACCCACAAAATACACAATAAACATCGACCTTTAATCCACGGGCTCCCTGAGCTATTATTCCTCAAGCACCATTACACATAGGCACTTCACACCATCAGTGATGTTTTTCTGTCCCTGAAATTGAAGACAGGCTTGTATACGGGCAACAGGAAGAGAGGCAATGCCCATTTTATTGACCGATCGCAACTTTCTGGGTACAAAGAAATACACACTCGGGTGTTTGCAAGGATGCCATGGTCTCTGGGATTGTATGAGAGCCTCACTCGTTTGGTTTCAGGTATCAATTTCACCATATTTAAAAACGAGCTTGCCTCTTCTGGCTCCCTAAGCACGGGCTGTCAGGATGACCAAGAACTCCACCTGTGGTCATCATGCTGCTTTTGTTCTATCTGCCTAGGTAATTCATGCCACCTCCTCCCCAAAAGCACTGACTGAGGCCCAGAAAACGTCTTCAAAAACACTGATGATATGGACTTCCTGGTGGCCCAGTAGCTAGGACTCTGTGCTCCCAATGCAGGGGGCCTGGGCTCAATCCCAGGTCAGGAAACTGGATCCCACGTGCTGCAACTGAAGATCCCGTGTGTCAAAACTAAGACCCCCCCCCAACTCCGAACAGCCAAATAAATTAAAAGTGTGTTTTTTTTTTAAGATTGATGATAGATAAGTCCATACAGAAATAAAAGGAAGTACAATTATGAGACTATAAAGAAAGTTGTTACACACAAAAAACGCATGCAAAACAGACTTCCCTGGTGGCCCAGTGGTTGAGACTCCACGCTTCCACTGCAGGGGGTGTGGGTTCCATCCCTGATCAGAAAACAGATACCTCAGGCCTCATGTTGTGGCCAAAAACATACTTGCAGTGACATCCCACAAAACTACTAAAAGAAAGTTTAGCTGCAAGGTCAGTTCAGGACATCTTAGCAGCCACAACTGATGGACAGCAATTTCCCCTCCCTCCCCCCTTCCCCTGCATCCTCTTCCATAAAAATAAGCAAAGATTCGCAATGAAATGCTTTAAACCCAACTTTACCACTATTATATGTGCTCAGTCACTTCAGTTCAGCTCTGTAGGATCCCATGGACTGTAGCCCACCAGGCTCCTCTGCCATGGGATTCCCCAGGCAAGAATACTGGAGTGGGTTTCCATTTCCTCCTCCAGGGGATCTTCCCGACCCAGGGATGGAACCCAGGTCTCCTGCATTGCAGGTAGATTCTTTGTCACTAGCACCACCTGGGAAGCCCCTACCATTATTATGAGAAATTCCTGGGCCTTTACATAAATGCTGACATTTACTTAAGAGAAGTGATTCCAAGGGACCCAGAATTAGTAGAAGTAATTTCAGGGCAGACAGACAAGTTTTAGAGCACTCAGGCCTCTGCGATCAGAGAAAGCTGCCTGCAGGGAGGTTGCCATTTTCTCCTCCAGAGGATCTTCCTGACCCAGGGATCAAACCCACATCCCCCGCACTGGCAGGCAGATTCTTTACCACTGTACCACCTGGGAAGCCATTGATCCTATAATTCTGCCCAAATAAGCCATCATGTTTCTACTCTACGAGAAAGGATTCTCCACTTTACGAACAATGCCTTTCTACGATGATTTGCTCTTAGGTTCTTTTTTCTCCAAAGGAGGGGACACATATTTTCATTTAAATGTTAATGCAATTTTAGTTTCAAAATTTAATCTTAGGCTTCACTTGACAGGTAATTATGAAGACAGATCTGCTGGATGGTAAGGAAGAATAAAAAGTGATGCACCGCTTTGATTTTAGGGTATCTGAGCACTTGGGTTATACAAGCTACTATCTAACCTTCTATTCACATGGGTAGCAAAGAGCTGATTAAATCTAAGTGGGTGTAATGAGAAAGGCATCAGCAGAGGTGGCAGGACACTGAGGCCCGTGTTGACTGATGTCGGCTCGTCTTTCAGTAACACAGAGAGTTGAGTGAGACTGCACGTGGGACTGGAACTTTGGTGAAGTTCATGTCACAGTTTGGAACAGTCTAGGAGGAAATACGGACATGGGAGGATGGAAGGATGCTGTGTTTCTTTTGCTTGTTTTTATGAAGAAGAAGGGGCTTCCCTTCTTTACTGCTGGTGGCTCCGCAGTAAAGAATCCGCTTTCGAGGCAGGAGACCCGCCTGCAATGCAGCAGACGGGGATCTGATCCCTGGGTCAGGAAGATGCCCTGAAGGAGGGCATGGCAACCCATTCAAGTGTTCTTGCCTGGAGAACCCCAGGGACAGAGGAGCCTGGCGGGCTACAGTCCGTGGGGTCGCAAGAGAGTCAAACAGGATGGAGTGACTAAACCACCAACCACCACCATGAAGAAGAAAAGAGGAGGTGTCATGCTGCATTGGTTGTGACTGCTCAGCAGTCCTGAGATGAACGTGTAGCTGGTCTTGAGTAATCATGTGTGATTTTATTGCATGCATTTTAAAAACATTTTATTTTATTGAAGTATAGTTGATTTACAATGTTGTGCTAATTTCTGCCGTACAGCAAAGTGTGAATCAGTTACACACATTCTTTTTCATGTTCTTTTCCACTTATGGTTTATCACAGGATACTGACGATGGTTCCGTGTGCTATACAGTAGGACATTGTTGCTTATCCATTCTATATATAATAGTTTATGGCATGCATTTTTCTGTAACAACTTTTCTGACCATTTCATCTTTTTTTTTTTTAATTTTGCTTTGGTTATTTATTTCTTTTGGCACCTGGACAGGGACCTGAACCCAGGGCCCTCAGCCGACTGTTTCATCTTATAATCATACCTCTTTTTGTGTTTGCATAAACTTATTTAAATGGTGGGCAGGGAAGAAAATGTAGCCTGGTTGCTGAGACTTCCAGAGTTGGCAATGACCTGGAGTCTGCATAAACAAATTCATCCTCTCCTCCAAGACAAAATCTAGGTATCAAAGTGTTTGGCTCCAGCTGCTCTAAACAGGAGCACCATGCTGGAAAAAGTACACAGCCTGGTCACTGACAGGAGTACCAAGTGGATGGCTGTCAAGACAGATGTACATAATCAGTCAAGGGCTTCCCTGCAGCTCACTGGTAAAGAATCTGTCTGCAGTGCAGGAGACCCCAGCTCGATTCCTGGGTCGGGAAGATCCGCTGGAGAAGGGACAGGCTACCCACTCCAGTATTCTGGCCTGGAGAATTCCATGGACTGTATAGTCCATGGGGTCGCAAAGAGTCGGACAGGACTGAGCGACTTTCACTTTCACTTTCAATCAGCCCCAGATGGGGCTATTCAATCAAGACGGTCAAGTTTCAATAAAAGACAGACAGGAACTTTGGCCTTGTTGAAAAGAACATAGCAGGAGAATCATCAAAAGGTTCCACGTGTTGTTTCTACCCTGGTGGTCCAGTGGTTAAGAAGTCACCTTGCAATGAGCAAGGGATGCGGGTGTGATCCCTGCCTGGGGAACGAAGATCCCAACTCCACGGAGCAACTAGGCCCAAGACACAACCACTAAGCCCGTGGATCACTAGAGAGTCCGTGTGCCGCAAGGGAAGATCCCTCATGACGCAACGAAGATCCCACTTGCCAGATAAATATTTTTATTTTTAAAAGGCTCCCTATGTGATGGGGAAGGTCTGATGAGTGTTTCTGAAATGCTCATCA